CCAATTATTGCTCAAAACAAGCATACAACAGGCAGAAAAACAAGTGTAATAAGACCAAAATGCTTAATACAAGTTTATTACACTTGTATAGATTTACCTTTTTTGCAGTGAACAATATATTCTATTTGATTTAATCTAATGTGTAGCCAAGTCTGACTTATTTAACTATATTTCATTTAAAAAGGTTAGAATATTGGAACTTTGATAGATATATTTTGACCTGGTAAAATTAGCTGTAGCTGATTTTTCAAAGAATTAGTTTTTTTTTTGTTTAAAGATAAGAAAAAAAGTCAAATACAGGATTTGTCAATTTTTACTGATCTTTTTCCTTTAACTTTGCTTCTTGCAGATAGTTTTAGGAGGTGAACTAACAGTGAGAAACCACACAGCGTGTCACTGCAGCACCTGCTATTACCATAAGGTGATTTGAAACGCGGACGACTTGCAGCCATCTACTCAGCCCTGCTCTTTGGAAATGCACAAACTTTTCTCTATTGTGGACATCAACAAGTGCTTTTTGTTTGTCTTTCTTTATTTTGTGATGTGAAACAAGCCTTTAACTTTAACGTGTAATTAAAAACGTGCACCAAGAGGTCCGTATGAAGATACTGTGTTTTATTCCTAGCTAAATATTTAATGTTGTTGCCTTTTGAAACAAGGTCATTGAAGTGATTTATGTGATTACCACCTTTGTTGTTTAATGGATTTCTTCTCTGAGATTGAAATAAATACTTTAACAATCCCTAAATGTAATGTAAAAGAGGACTTTTGAAGCATATTTAACCTACAATAAAAAAAGGGTGTTCACACACTGGAAAAACGATCTAGAAATAAATAAAAATGTCTTAAATTAAGTGTATTTACCATTACTTTCAGTATGTAATTGTGATAGTTTGCCAATGGAATGAGTAATTTTACTCTTAGAATAAGATAATTAGTAAAAATGCACTTGAAATTAGACAAGGCAATTGCATTTTCTTATTTTAAGTGTAAATTATCTTGTTCCATTGGCAAAATGTTGTTTTTACACTGCAAAACAATCTAGAAATAGGTCAATATTTCCTAAATTAAGTGTATTTCCCCCTAATTTAAGCAGGTAAATCAGATGATCTGCCAATGGAATGAGTAATTTTACTCTTAAAATAAGATAATTAGATAATATGCACTTGAAATAAGACAAATCAATTGTGTTTTCTGATTTTAAGTGTAAATTGTTTGTTTCATTGGCAAAATGTCTCTTTTACCTCCTCAATCCAAGAACAAATGCACTTATTTTGAGAAAAAATGACTTATTTAGATTTCGATTCTTTCCAGTGCAGTTCCTGACATCACTTATAATACCCATGTTACAACCAGATACTTAAACATATTTAATAAATTCTTCTGGCTTTCTCTTAACAGTGGCTTTCACTTAGCTACTAATTCAGTGTATTAAAAGTAAATGCTCTTAGAGTCTTAATGAACTCGTTTTTATGGTAAAGAAACGTCGCCAGCTCTTTAACTGAAGATAAATAGATTTACAATTTAGACTTTATATACCTTTTTCATTGACATCTGTTATTAGAAAGAGTCCATTAAACATGTTTTCAGTTATTTTTTTGCTTATGGATTAGAGCTTGATTAAACCTTCTCTAAGCAGCTCACACTGGATCCAGGTTAGACTTAGTCTAAGACAACTTTTACTGTCATTTTCTATACACAGTGCAAGAGTGTATACAAAACAAATTTTCATTTGGCACAGCTTTCAAGACAGTAAATTAATATAAAGTGCAGCAGTGATCAAATGTAAACAGTGGGAGGAAAAGAAAGAAAAGTTGTAAAATATCTCCAGGGATGTTTTTAGTCTAAGGGACCGAAAAAATGAGAGGATTTTAGTTTTAGTCCAGACGATGCTTTATAGTATCCATCAGGCGAGTTTCTGATGTTGTACATACAGTGCACTTTTTTTTTTTTCAAAGATTGTTTAATTAATACAGTGGTTCCCTGGCTTGGCCGTCCAGAGTGATTCATGGACACGGAATATCAAGCAGGAATGGAGCAAGATTGTCGGGTTCATAAAATGTAGGTATTTGCTTAAGAAGAACTGAAATACACAATTTATGGATACAATTCCTGCAGAAAGGAGAGACAGTTGAACCCCAGACTCAAACACACTGTCTCCCACTGGACCTCCTCCGCAGAGCATTTTATTAACAGAACATGACGCATGGTTACAAACAGAGTATTGTTCTGACAAAACAATTGATCAGTTCATGAAGACAGAATGCTGCATCAGAATGACAAGGCAGGATGGTCTCCTGACTGGATCATGACACAGGAGTGGAGCATCCCCTTGCAAAAATGTTTCATAAACACACATTGATTTTATAATCATCATTGAATAAACCTAACAAAGACAAAAATAGGAGTAAAAGTGGAGCCCGATTTCAAAGGTGGGACTAAAAAAGAGAAACAGTGTAGAACTAATCAGATAACTTATTTTATCTTAACTTGCAGAAAAGTGCCCTTGCATTAGGAACCAGCCTCCTTCGCTGGTAGAGAAGGACTTTAAAGGTTCCCAAACATTTTTAGCTGGGACTTCCTGAGGCTTACAGGAAAATCTGGATAATTATCGACGCAGGTTTTTTGATGTAGCGTTTAAAAACATTAATATTGTAGTTAAAGGGATAGTTCAGTATTTTTGACATGAATCTGTATGGCATCCCCATCACCAGTGGCATGCAATCACACTGACTTA